ATTTAAGGCTTGGTATTTTGGTTGGGATACTTAAGAATGATGATGAGCTGCCCAACAAAAAAAAATCAGTGTCACAGAAGACTACAGAATGAAGCTTTCCTCCCAATCATGTTTTGTGTGTGTCGGAGTTTTGACCCAAGGTCTGAACTGAGGTTCAGCTTTTCTATGTCAGTTGTTCTTAATCCACCAGCCAGCATTCTGAGCTCTTGTATATTATCATTACTCTGAACTTGCCTCTCTTATTGCTCCCAAGCTCCTACGCTCTCCCCCCCAACCCCCCCCCACACACATACATCCTCAATGTGCTGCACGGTCTCCTCCGCTAACTCATTCTTCTCATTCTTTCCCAGGATTTCAGCTCTGTAGAACTTCCCCCCCACTCCCTTTCTCCAAGAGTATAAGCTTCTAAACCCCCGAAGCCTGGCATAGCTTCACCACCACATCTTGATTTATCTTGTCTCCTCCTTTATCTCTCCTCCTCTGTACAGTCTTAGTAGTGCCCTGCAATATGGGCTTTGGCTCTTTGCCTGGGATTCTCAATAAGCCCCCACAAAGGTTCACTCTGCTGATAAAAGGATATATTTTGCTTGTGAGCAAAAGATTTTTTTTCCCATCGACTGCCTGATGTTGGTTTCTAGCCTGGTGACATCCATTTAATCAGAACTAATTGTGTTCTTTGAAGCTAGCTTTTCGTTATTTTATATAAAATTATTTTCATTGTGCCGTTCACTCCATATTCTGTTTAAACTCGCCGGTTGCTCTTCACCTCAGCCTCATTAATTGGTTGGATGTGTAGAGGTTTGTAAACAAACTAGTTCTCTGTGGAAAATTCCAGCATGCTGTTTTAATAGGCTCACAGTCTAGGCTGACACTCCAGCAGTAACTGTTCGTAGGATGTTACTGGTGTGTATCACTACTGTGTTTGCCTGTAAAAATATCACTACCACTTGTAATAACTACAGTGCTTCTCGAAAGTTTTGATAAAATTCTTTCTTCATCCATTTTCCATGTTTTTTTCTGATTGAGTATGTGTGTGTCGGTAAAGAATGTATATCTGAGTGTGGTTGCACCTTGAGTCGTCCTCTCAACATGAAAGGCACTATATAAATGCAATTTTTTTTGTTCTTGAGTGTCTGTGTGAGAATGTGTGTATCTGTAAAATGTATGCATATCTATCTGTTGTGCGTATATAATTATCTGTGAGTGTCTCAATGCTGGCTAGCAGTGTGTATTACATTCTTGCTACCCTGGTGAGATTAAGCCACGGAGTGTTAACATCCTGTGCCATCAACAGGAGGTTTGAAAAGATTGTGAGCGGCTGATTGCCGAGTTTCCTGCAGTTAGTATAGTATGAACCTCAACCTGGGAGAAAATGCTGATTGAAGCCAATCTGAAGTTTGTTGGCTTTAAGTGAAGAGACTGGAGCTCGTGTTGTAGATGTCACTCTGTCAGAGATGTGTCCTGTGATCCAGCAGTTAGCCTCAGTTAACACCTCAGTTAGCCTGTTTAGAACCTTCTAGACTTGCTGATTTATAGCTGAGGATAACATAGTCTATCGAAAACATCATGTGATCTCAGTGTCTCTCCCCTCTCACTTTCACATTCCCAGTGAAACTTTATCAGAGACTCTTGCTCCCATAGCAGATCAGCCCGGTACTTCAAGATGCTATCCTACAAGGAAGGTGCTATATAAAATGTGAGTCATTGTCCTGACTTCATGTTTGACAGACCTGCTGAAGACCTTTCTTTTCAACCTCGCCTTTGGTCACCTTCCCACCCCTCCCCCGGCTCGGTCCCGGGATCCTAAACTGTAAAGCGCTCTGAGACGCCGGCCAGCGAGGAGGACGCTATATAAATTTAAGTTGTTGTTGTTGACACTTGGTTGGACAAGCTCTCTTCATGTTTCAGCCACAGCCAAGCAGATTGCAGAATGAGGCTTTCCTCCTGATACTGATGGTGTTTCCATTTGACCTGTGAGGTGTGACCTTCCTTGAAAAAGCATGTTTAAGCATATATAATATTGTAGAGTTTGTGTTAATGTGCCATGTTAGACCAAGAGGGTATCTCAATAAAAACATCCCAGGCCTGCAGACTGGCTGGATCGCCGACAAAATATACAATCCTGTGCACTTTACAATATATTCTATGAATCGCCCTCAAAGACTTGATAAGGCACTATATCAACGTAAGGATTATAATTATTATTGTTGCCTCAATCGCAGAACTGAGAAAAACTGGCTGGATTGTCTCTCGCATTTTAGTACTGGAGCTCTTGTCGTTCGAAATATGTGCCTAATCATGTGGCTTGGTGACAGTTCTCAGCCTGCAGCTGAATCCCATGTGTCGGAAAGTTATCAAGTCCACTCTCTACTTCGCTGCTCAGAAAAACAATGGGAATAATGTTTTCTAAGGGAAATTTCAAAAGAATGATGTTTTCTTTTCAGTTTCACATCTTTCCCACTCACTCCCTTTGTACACCAGCAGCAACTGGTTGGTAAACACTGAAGTAACTGAACAATAATGTCAGTCTGTTTGGATGCTTTGATGAGGCCGTGCCAATGTACAAAATGACATTCTTTTGAATGCCACAAATCAGCACGTGAACCTGGGATTAATTTAAAGTGTGTGACATTGGCACGGCTGATAAACAAAACGTCAAAGAAACTTTCTTTCCCTGTATTTATTCAGGATGGAGAGGAGGGGAATTCCATTATACAAAGCGTGTCCAAAACAGATCAAGTCAGTTCTCTAAATTGTGAAGAAAATAATACTTGTTTCTTAATAATAATCCTTGCATTTGATATAGAGCCTTATCACGTCTTCGAGATGTCTCAAAGTGCTTCACAGAATACTTTGTAAGGTGAATTTACTGTATATTTTGTGGGCGATACACGCAGCAATGTCCCATAAACAGTCATGGATTGAGTGACCAAATTATTATTATTTTTAAAAAAAAATTTTGAAGGGCTTATTATATCTGGAAAAGCAATTCGCAAATTGACTAACAACCAGGTTCCTGCTCGGTAAATAGGTGGGTGGAGTAAGGAAACTTGCTCAACGTTTCGCCCTGCTCAGGAATCGAAACCAGGTCCTTTCTCTTGCGAGATGAGTGTTCTAACCACTAAGCTACAGGACTACATTGTAAAGTGCTTTTTTTTAACATGAAAGGCGCTGTGCATGTAAATTATTAAGAAATGCATGACCATCTATATAGGGCTCGGTATCCATTTTGATTGGTTTGAAGAGAAATAAGCAGTTACAGCTTGCTCAAGTATTACGATTTTAACTGGTGGTACCATTGCTCAGTGGGTAAGATGTGTGTCCAAGCTGTGGGCAAGAAGATGCTGATAATGCTCTGATGCATTTCACGCAGAGAATGGCGCTCACCAGGAAACTTGCAAGGAGTTTCTGATGCCTGCTGTTCTCCTAGTGAGGCCTCAAACCTGTGCGTGTCAGATGTCAAATGACCAACTAATGACTACAGCAACAACTCATAAGTATATAGCGCACTTCACACAGGGTAGTGTTTCATAGTGCTAAACTGTGACTATCTTTGTGGGTGTGGGTGGGATGGGAAGAAGGGAGTGTTGGTAAGCAAGGTCTCCTTGGAGCTGAGATGGTTCCAGGATAATATGCAGGGAAGGTTTGGATGAAGAAGTGTTTCAGTATTTTTTTTAAAATGTAATCGTGTTCAATTTGATCCATTTAAGGGGAAGCTAGATAAGAAAGGAATAAAAGGTTATGCTGATAGGCTTAGTTGAGGAAGGGCAGGAGCATAAATGCCAGCATAGACCAGTGGGGCCAAATGGCCTGTTTCTATGCTGTATATTCTATGTAATAATTCTATGTAATTACTTTTGTAATTTTCCCCGCTTTTGACATATGCCTCTTTGCTCCTCGTCTGGCCTCATGCTAGAAAAACTGCTTTTGCTGCCAGATATTTCTTGTGGTAACAAAACATATTTTCCCTCTTTTGGCTTGGATTTTCGTGCCGAGGTTTCACTCCGTCACTGAAATTTTCTGTATGAAAGAGAAACGTCATGAAACGCAGCTAGCCTTGGATCGCATGTGTGTGGCACCAGGGGTATGAGGGACTGCAGCCCGTTTACAATAAAGTGCGTGTTGTGCTAGTTTTGCCACGCACGGGAGTGTAATCAGCAACGCCCAGATGTGCTGTAAGATTCCTATCTACAACAATGGAGAATTGAGAGAACAGAAAGAAGTCTTTTCTCCCCCACCCCTCCCCACTCCCCCTCCTGTGAAAGAGTAATGAGTTCCAGCCTGGTGGTGGTGGTCATGGCATGCCTGCCTTTTTCGGGTGTTTGTGACATCTAGATGATGCTCTGTATATCCTGGCACTCTAGTCCTTTCAGAACACGCACATGTGTTCTCTAAGCGCCATCTCTCCACATGGTTGCAGATTAACATTGGAACTTGCCAAGCTACTCTCAATGCTATTTGTGAGCCCTGCTGTCTACAGCTGCAAACTTTGCTCTCAATGAGTGAAACATCAGCCACTGGGTAGGAAAACGCCTGACATTATCAAACGCGCTCTTAATACATAGGCACTCACGCTTTACAACATTACCAAATAGTCTCAAGTGCAGAGCACACCACTAGTCTAAGTGACTCTGATCTTCTGACTGTAATCTTGCACCTTTCACTTTAGTGAGAGGCTCAGACCTTTTTTTCATGGTATAATTGTAAGATTCAAGGCTTGGAGTCACCATGACAACAGCCTCTCCCGATTGGAATCACGTAGAAGCTGCTCTGGTGAGTCAGCCAGAGAAAATTGGGTAATGTTATACTGTGAAGCATCCTTGAAAACTGAGATTTGTACATGGCACAAGCCAAATGGCACCTGTCTTTGTTGTGCCAGTGATGTATCAGCCAGCAATTTGCAGTCAGGTGGAAAATAATCAATGGCACGTGGTTAGCATTGGGGAACTGTTATCTTGACCTTTAAATATGTTTTTTTCCTCTCTTCTCCCCCTGCTCAGGGCCGTTGCTCCAGAGAGAACTGCAAGTATCTCCATCCTCCTCCTCACTTGAAAACACAGCTTGAGATAAATGGACGGAATAACCTGATACAGCAGAAAAACATGGCCATGCTAGCCCAACAGATGCAGCTAGCCAATGCCATGATGCCTGGCACTCCACTGCAGCCCGTGGTGAGCGTACGTTCATTCTACAGTTCATTCCTTCACACGCTTGACTCCTCTTAAGAGAGTTATTAAGCAGCAGGTCACCAGAAAGAAGCAAAGTATAATCTATAAAGAATATTTTATTCTCAGTCTGCCATTTAGTATGCTTATAGGATTTTTGGTTTGTTTTTCTCCAGAATGCTATGTCTTTTATTTTCTTCCCTCCCCCTCTGGGCTTCACAGCTTGCAAGGCAAATAAAGTAAGCTTCAGGCCTACTCCCTGGCCTCAGCCTCTCCCTATGTTGAACTGGGTATAAGGAGATTTTGCCTCCTCAGTCTGTGTCCTGGTTACTTTTTTGCCCTCCAGACTCGCTCCTCTCCACAGCCTGCAGATTGGGAAGGTTTACAGCAGTGTTGCTCCACTCCCTATAGCAATCAGCAATCTCCCTCAGGGTGCAGAGCTGGGACTAGACTCAGAGTTCACGTCTGCTGTGCCTAAATGCTTATTATTTTATCTTTCCTGTTGGTTTCCTGAATATTTTCACCGGAGAAGATTAAATAGGGGAATCCCTAACTTCCACGCATTGAGTGCAGCACAATAGGTACAAACATGTTTTCTTTACAAAGAATCAGTTTCCTCTCCATTTAATGTGAAAATGGAGTGTAAAGCCCTGAAGAACCAAACCACGTCCCTGAACTCCCATTGCCCTTCCCAATCTATTAGCATTTAAAGTCTGACTAGATATCACTGGGTACAATCATCATAAGCGTTTTTGATGTGTACTAGGTCTGAGCTGCATGTCAGTGAGAAAATCTGCATTTGGTGACTAGTAAAACCATCCAGCTAACGAGGCTTGAAGTTAACATTTGTAGTGTAATGCTCTGTTGCACATTTTCTGTTGATTTCCTGAATATTGTCATCAGAATATTCTAGAGGGTGGAACATTACGACATTTCCTAGCAGATATGTGAGATATGTGAGAATTATCATATGGAAACTGTTAAAGAAACAGTGGAATCTCACTCAATGGATTATAGATTTGGATTTGAGTCTGAACATCAACCTCCCCCCCCCCCCCCCCCCGCCCCCACTGACTTAAACACGATGGTTTGGTGCAGAATTGTTCAATAGCCATAAGAATATAAGAACTTCAAGGGAAAGAAGACCCAAGTTCCATCTAGTTCGCCTTCCACCATCCTGGTAGTCACTTGACATGTCGTGTTCCAAACTATATACTGTATCCCGAGATATTATTTTCCAGCAGAAATTTATCTAATTTGTTCATGAAACAAACAACATTTTCTGCTTCCACCATCTCCCTAGGTAGAGTGATCCATAAATTTAATACTCGCTCACTGAAGTAGTGTTTGTTCTGAATTTACTCCCCTTCAATCGCAGGCCATCTTGGATTCCCACTCAGGGATAATGTCACAAATACTTTCTAATAGACGACCCTTCTCCTAGGTAGTGTCTGAGCACTTGATTCACAGGATTACATTTGATCATGTCTCAGTCTCAGTTGTACAAATGCACTGTTCTTCATGATCAGGGGTATGAAAAGCCTTCAGATCCGACCATTGTGCTGAAGTCGGGAGGGAACGAGAGGATGTTTCTTCACATCCGAAAATGGTCAACAATCATCGACTAAAATGACAATACCTGCATGAGCTTGGGGTCTGTGCGGTGTTCAGCCTCCGTCATACCAGCATGATCCATTCATCTCTGAACATTCTGTGATTATCACACCTTGCAACCCAGCTATCTTCAGCTGTTGGGGGTGGGATGGGGAAGCCAGTTTTGGAACAATGGTTTGCACACCATAGAAGACAGTATTGCAACTCAATAACATGTAACGGTGCAGAGCAAATACAGGGGTTTGCCACACACCAAGTCCCTTTGAGAGTCAGGACCATACACTGGAAAACACAGTCATGCAATCGCAATGACTGTGTTCAACCAAAGCTTTGTGCAGCTAGTTTCAATACAGATCAGCAGAACAGTATTCAGCAGTACCACAATGCTGTTTACAGAGGTCTCAGTCTTCAACAATTCTTAACTCTTTATAAAACCCCAGACTTTCCAAGACTTGAATTTTACTCTCATATCTGAGGTTCTTCCATCCCCCCTCTCACAGTCTTGGATAGGACATGAGAGAAGACACTACTATCATGGTCAGTGTCTCTCAGGACTTTCCTCTCTTGTTTGTTTATTTCAAAAACATAAGTTGATATGCTCTTCCTGCTCCTTGCATCTCTGGCATGGCATTCCAATCGTCTTCTATCTCCAGAAGACTCCTACTTCAGGCTTCTCTCTCATTGCTCCTGCGATGACCCTTGACTTAGTTCTTGACTGTGACCCTTGATTTAGTTCTGCGCTGGAACTGCCACTACAGTAACGGGCTGATCAAGGCACATCATCAATAATGTTTTAAATAATAATGTAGTATACTCAATTGAATAATAACAATCCTTGTATTTGGTATAATGCCTTACCACATCAGAAGGACATCTCAAAAGCGTTTCACAGGATTTACTGTGAATTGGAGTGACTGCAAATTTGTAGGCAACTGTGCCAGCACAATTTGCGCACAACAATGTCTCAGAAATAGCCATGGGCCAATTTTATTTGGTGGATTGTTTACCAGGACACCGCAAGAAACTCCTTTCTCTTTTCAATTTGTACCATGGAATCTTTAACGTCCACCTGAACACGCAGACAGGAACTCGGTTTGATGTCTCATCCGAAGGACGGACAAAAAAACACCCAAAAACCACAGCATAATTTCATACACCCATGTAATGCCATAGGCAAGGTCAACGTGACACCCAATCACTGGAAGAGTCGGTTGATCGCAAGTCTGCAAAAAAAGATATTATAAGGATGATTTACAAATTCTTGGCCAGACTGAGCAGTTGTCACTGCCAAGCTCTACTTCCAGCCATTTTGGCAAGATTACCACACATTAATATCCAAGAATTGGGTGCTTATGCGCTGTGCTGTGCCAATGTCCCGTTTATCTGTTGCGCAGACAACATGGATGCCTGAGTTCAGGAAGCTTATGATTATTGTGTGGCCATTTCAGTTCAATAACTCTCAGCTTTTGAAGGGAAAGGAAAAACTGCATGTTGGAGATAATTGTAGAACCATAACAGGCAATGATTTTCTTTCCAGTGAAACTCACAGAGACTCATTTTCGACATAACACAATTTACTGACGTTGTGGTGCCCACAACACCATCACCCACATTCTGGGCTGCTTGTCAATCATGTGTGGCTGTCATGCTGCACTGCAATATAATACTGGGGACAAGTCGAAACATGGAATCAAGAAACATTGAAGATATCTAAAGAGAGCTGAGCATTCTTTTTCAGGTGATGCCTCTATCAAAACCTAAAAAGACTATTTGTAGTTCACGCCCAAGTAAGCTTCTCCTATTGCTCACAGCTTCTCTGTGTAGAATTCAGGATTCTCTTTTGTCCAAGTTATGTGTCTTGATTGTGTAGAAAGTCCGCTGAATAGCTGTGATCAAATGAAACTGCTTTTCATATCTCCACTGCTCCAAGGCTCACGCACAGATTCTTACTCTAGAGAGATACAGTGGCCAAAGGCAGAATAGACTGTCTTCACATGACATTCCCGATCCCAATCGAGAGAAGGAGAATCTGACAGAGAGACAGTATCAGTCTTAAACCTGGTATTATTATTACCACAAGGAGCTCTCTTACACAGTTATGCTCTTACATTCAGACTCTGACCAAGTCTGTTTTCTTACATCTGTGTACATCACCCACCTCTACCACAAAGTCACCCCCAACATCTTGCCTTGCATTTGATATTTAAAGCTTCCCCAACCCAGGTTTTTATCTTTAATCACAATCAAGTCACATTCAGTTCATATTTCCTTATTATTAAATGCGAGTGACTAAGTGTGAGACAGCTGTGGAAGGTGGTGCAGTGAGCAGCACAGTATATTTAAACTCAATGTGCACTGCACAGCGCAACATTGAGAGATACGTGTTCAAGAACAGCATCACGTACTTCAATCTTTTGAGATGCATCAGAATTGTTTTTAGTTTCCTGACAGCATTGAAGAGCATTTTCAGAAATTTCCAAATAATTCTGACCTGTTGAGTTAATGACTGGGACCTTTCCTATCTTCTGAAAGGGAGACATTCTGCTGCGGCATCTTTGATAGCATTCTGAATTGAACTATGACGTTTCCGTATTATTAAAGAGTATGGAAACACACACTCCCTCAGCTTTCCCTGTCATATTGTATCTTCATGTAAAACTGATGGTTACATATGCCAGAGAAAGCTGTGAGTGTGGGAGTCGGAGAAGAAAACATCCAGGGCAAGCAATGTCTTTTAAAACTTGACTGTTTCCCATTATCAGATCCCTGCTCTCATAGTTCTCAAAATATGCAACTGGCTGAGTGTAACATGTTTGTTATGTATCATGCCTCTTTTGTGTTGTGCGTTCAAAATAAAAGTAATAATAATCCTTGCATTTGATATAGCGCATTTCACATCGTAAGGACGACTTACAAATGCTTCACAGGATTTACTGTGAAGTGTAGTGACGGTGTATTTTGTAGGCGAAAGAGCAGCCAACTTTTGCATTTCAAAGTGCCACAAACAGTTATGAAGTGAATGACCTGGGGCATTGTTGGCCAAGACATAGGGAGAAACTCCCTTCTCTTTTCCAATAGTGCTTTGAGATCTTTAATGCCCACCTACACAGACAGACCGGATTGGATTTCGGTTTATTGACTCATCTGGAAGTATGGCATCTCCAACAATGCAGTGTTCCTGAACAATGGCCTGGAATATCAGTCACTTGCTGTGTGAGTTCCATTTCCCGACACAGGGATTGACTTGGAGGCGAGAGTGATAAATTGAGTGGAAGGAATACATTTATCGTGATAATCATCAGATATTAAATTTTTGCCTTGTGTACCTTACAATAAAATGGAACTTAGTTGTATCTATATTTAGCATTACAGAGCCCTCCTTGAGCCCTGACCCTGTTCTGTTAAATTCTATTCTATCCTCTGCTGGTTTTGGTCTGTTCATACACCTCACTGTGACACTATGGCTCACTATACATAGTGCATTCACTGAGACATGCTGCTCTTAACTTGCAGCTAGGCCAGGAGGCTTCCCATGTTCAGTTGCCCACTGAATTGCCCTCCAGAGCAGACAAGTGCATCTCAAGTCTGGCACTTTAACATGCTGCTCGAGCTTCTGAACTGTGTAATATTCAGCTCTGTATCCTTGCCTCTTTGTGCTCGCAGGTAAAATTCTAACTATCTTCCTACATCAAGGGTGAGATTATCAAAGACCTGCAAACAGCCATCAAGTACATAGCCAATTAATTGAAAGCATTGTTGACCAAGACACTGATCCATTCTCTATTAAAATAGCTTTAAAATGTATTTAATCTGAACAGGCAGTCGTGACCTCAGTTTTATACCTCAGCCAACTCCTCTGATGTTGCCCTCACCTACCACTGCTCTGGAATGTTAACCTTGACTGCAAGTTCAAAAGCCCCGACGTGGGGCTCGAACCTACAACTCTAATCTCAGGATGAGAGGGCTACGAACTGAGCCAGGTTGAAACTAATCCACACTGTGGGGATGGCTTGATCTAGACAATGGGGACATATCCGATTGCTCGGTACTGAACTCCCTTCACCCTGATGAGCAAAATACAAGCCCGCTCAATGCATCGGATCCAAAGGGTAGAACTTTTTTTGGTTAAGTTATGGTTGATTATAATGAGTTCAGTGGTGATTAGTGGTGACCATGCTATTATAACCAGGGCTAAAACAATGCAGCAAAATATCCACTTGTTCCTCTGATGTGTTGGCAGATGGCGGATGTTGGACAGCGTGGGTGGTGGTTTAACGAGGTAAATACAATAGGAAGAAAACTGTTTTCACTCATTGTCTCTTTGCCTGATAAGGAAGTGATGGGGAAAGGGAGGGTATTTTATCAAAGTGCAGAAGGTGGGGGTGGGGGGCAGAGCGAATATTGCGCTAATCAATAACAGTAGACTTTTTAATTTCCAACAGAATCTAGTTCTAGTGTAAGATTAATTATTTTTCAAAAAAACTGTGATTAAGCAGGAATTTAAGTTTTTTGTTAAATATTACTTTTGGATTAACAAAGTCAAAATAGAAAGTTTTAAAATTTAGCGCTAATTTCAACACACCTGATTAATGTAATAAAATGTATGCATTGTCTAACGGAGAATAAAGTAAGTGTAAACACTCTGTATGAAGCAAACAACAGCTTTCTGGGAATGTTTAAGCATCGTATTTGTTTTAATCTGAGGCACTAACATTGCCCTTTTCTCAGAGAGCTGATGTGATTGAGTAAGGAAATAAATATTGATTCTGTTACACTGTATTTCACTGCTGGGATGTTACTGTTGGAGTTGCTGTTGATTACCATGTAACCGTCACATTACAGACTGCATGACTGATCCACAAGGCGACGGGGGTATTGTAGCCCTGACAATGCCTCACACTGTTCATTCAGCCAGCACTAGGCACGATGCTCCCATTCTGCTTTTTCTTATTTGTNAAAAAAATTGGTTCAGTGCTTCATGACACATTCAACATTTTTCACCTAAAACGCCTTGGCCCCCATCCCCACATTCGAGAAGCTGGACGCTTGGTGTTGAAGACAGTTTCTAGTCGTTATCTCACCTATCAGTTTCTCGCCTGCAGATGTACCGCCCAAAATGTCATTTCCTATGGCTTTTCTGCTGGTTAATGGAGTAAAGATTAGGGTGTCCCGCTAACCAGGGTCAAACAATCCAGCTTCACTAACTGGAGGAGGGGAAGGCGGACACTCTAGAGACGTTCTACATGTGATAAATTTTCTTTTAACCTTACTTGTAAATGATTGACCCAGTCCCACATCTATTATTCCATCACTTTCAGACCACACGGTCACTCAGAGAGTGTCTACATACCTCATCTGCCAGGGTCTGACACTTTGGTGTATCACACTTTCGTGTATCACCCTTCGGTGGTCTCACCTGTCTGTATCTCACCTGTTGGTACCTCACCTCTCAGTATCCTACTAGTCGGTTCCTCACCTGTCCATGTCTCATCTGTTTATATGCTCACACAACTATTTCCTGTCCTGTTTAACAGTTAACAGGATTGGTTGACTTTTGGTCTCGTTCAACTGTTTACCTTTTTTTGTTTGAAGTATGATTGCATTTGTGTCTCATTGCCTCAAATACAGATACACTCTGTCTAGACAGTGAAATGGGAGCTGGGTATGAACCCATTTAACGGGCAGCACAGGAGGTTAGTGCAATGAATGAGCATGAGACTCTGCTCACAGTTCAGTAACACATCATCTTTCTTTCTATTTCAGCCAATGTTTTCTGTCACGCCAGGTCTGGCAGCTAATCCAACCGCAGCCTTCAATCCGTACTTGGGTCCTGTGTCCCCAAGCTTGGTCCAAACTGAAATCCTACCTAGTGCACCAATGCTAGTCACAGGGAACCATGCCATGCAAGTGCCCACCGCTACTGCACAGAAGTTAATGCGAACAGATCGCTTGGAGGTGAGTTGAGGCTTCCTCTCAGTGGATTACGAAAAGAGGGTGAAAATTGTGAGGTTACCACGTGTTAATCGACGTTGCTGGTGTTAATTAACATATGGATCAAATGCAGGGATCTGATAATATTTTACTTTTGATATAGCACCATAGTGCATCTTTGAAACACCTCAAAGTGCTTAACAGGATTTACTAAAAGTGTAGTGACTGGGTATTTTGTAGATGAATGTGGCAGCCAAATTGCATGCATCAATGACCAACAACACCAACATCAAAATCACATTTATATAGCGCCTTTCACGTCGGGAGGACGTACCAAGGCGCTGACCAATTTTTCTCGGGGAGTTTCGGCCAGGACATGGCGAGAAACTCCCTTCAATTCTCGAATAATCTCATGGGTCTTTACCATCCACCTGAGCAGGCAGACAGTACTGCATTGGAGCATCAGCCTGGACAATAAACTCAAAGTTCCAATTTGGGTTTGAACCCAAATCCTCAGAGGTGAGAGTGCTGCCAACTGAGCCAGGCTGACACTAAACACATGTACTAGACCCCAAAAGTGCTTGAGTTGATCCGCACTAAATCCCTATTTCCTAAATTCAGTGGTTGACCGAGACTTCACCATCCATTGATAGAAACTCCTAAACTGAAAACACACGACTGCAGAGTGGACATCATACACTGCGTATCATTGTGAGAGTGGGAAAATGTCTGAATTGAATTGCAGTTGAACTGCTATTTAGGACAAGGGTGAGTTGAGAAGGAGGAGAGTGGTGGGGGTGGTGAGGGATGCCTGCTAGCAGGGGAGGGCTGAGTCCCAGAGATACCTTTTCCAAGAGAGAGAGAAATGTTTTATACTCTCTCAAAAAAACATCTAAGCACCGATCTCAGTGGAATCCAGCTCGATGTAAACACGAACCTTCTTATCAATTTAATCACTGCATTAAGAATGCAAGAGGCGATTCCTTTCCCCTGACTGACTTTAATTACAACTGTAGTAACCAGGGCGATAGTATATGTTGTGAATATAAATCATATAGGATTCCCCTGCTATTACTGAATGGACGTAGAGGCAAGGCAGCGAAATGGAATGAAAGACTTGGTAGATCTAACCGTAGAGCTTACTGGAAGGGCTGATTGGATTCCTCCTGTTCCTCAGTGTAACAGTCCTGTATAACACTCCTGCTGCTACCATGTAACAGTGGGGAAGCTGTTCACAAAGCAGGTCACTGAGAATTATGGAGACAAACAACTTATTTTAATAAATCCAATCACTTCTGTGTTTTCCTTCGTTCCTTCCTTCCAGGGGATTGAATTAATGATTAAAAGGGGCTTTGCTCCAGAAATCAAAAATATAATTTGCTCACGTCTTCACACATTGAGCGTCAGATCAAACCGAGCTTATTTACAAACACGCTGAGTTCATTATTTTTTAGAGATGGAGATAGAGATGTGGAATCAATTTCAATTGTACACACACACCTACTGACCTGATCTGTCTCTTTCCTGTTGTTTGGGATCAAAGCCACAGGAAGTCAGGGAACTCTCAGCAAACACTGTAAACAACCAATGCATTTTACATTTCTAATAAAAAAATTAAAATATCCAATATAGAAATGCCTAATGGCTAAATAATTGACACTCAGGTCATTAGCAGCTCTTTCTCATATAAATGGGGAGAAGAAATTGGGAGGGGTGAAGTATAAACACTGGCACAGACTTGTTGGGTGGTGCCTATTTCTACGCAATTGTAGAATGCCTTTCACTTAGGGAGGACATCCCAAGTCTGTAATTCAATGTACTCCTGGACTCAGAAGATTACTGGGGTGAAAATAGTGTTAAAAAGTTTAAACGGGAAAATACCCAGTGATGGCCTCACCATGGGCATGGACAGAGCATATCAATGAGGCTGATCTCCAGTGTTAGAGACAGCATAGAGGAGGAAATCAATGAGAATGATCTTCAGTGTTAGACAGTGTAGAGGAGATCAATAAGACTGATCTCCAGTGTTAGATGCAGCACAGAGAAAAATAACAAGGCCGATTCCCAGTGTTTAGAGACAGTGCAGAAGAGATAAACGAGGCTGATCCCCAATGAACCCCTCTGAGTAAAGAAATACTTGCCATACTCTGTCATAGACTAACTCTTCATAATCCCGAACCTGTGCACACATGTCCTGCCTCCTCGGTTTAACGTTCTAAGTATATTTTCTCAGTCATTTAAAGTAATGTACAAAATCCATGAACTGGAGTAATGTGAATCAGTGAGAAACACCCTTCTAGCACATCTCTTCCTGCTGTTGATGGAATGACTGATCAGACAGTTGTTAGTTCACTGTAAATTAGCCACTGCTCCACACTAACATCCTGCTAATCCCTGGGGGTGGGGAGAGTTACTCTACACCACGGTTATTCTGTAGCCAATTAATCCCTGTGGGCTCCGAGCTATTCAATTCATGCAGAATGTTGTACAGAGGTGCCCCGGGGTGTTTATATTGCTGGACCCCTGTTATAATGTGGTGGTTTGGAGTGGGGGAGGATTGTAAAATGAGATCCCACATGATAAAGGGTTGTGTTAGAGTTTGGCTTCCAGGTCATCAGGTCACCGATGACTGTGCTTCTCACATCACCAAACCGGCTAAAACTGTACATGTGCACAGAACGGGAGACAGTAGTGTACCCCAGAGTCCACCTGAGTTGTCTAATAATCCTACAATAATAGTCCTTGCATTTAATATAGTGCCTTATTACTTTGTTGAGACATCTCAACCTGCTTCACAGAATATATTGTCAAGTGGATTGACTGTGTATTTTGTGGACAAAATGCGGCAGCCAATTGCGCACAGCATTGCCCCACAAACAGTCATGGATTGAGTGACCAATTTATTTTTTGAAGGGATTATTACCCCCGGAAAGTGATCCACCAATCGACTATCAATCAGGTACTGCTAGGTAAACAGAGGCGTGTGGAGAAAAAAAACTTGCCCAAGTTTTCGTCACGGGCGGGAATCAAATCCTCTTGATTGTGAGGCGAGTGTGCTACCCACTATGCTACAGGACTCCACAATACGACCTGAAGCGCAATGTACTGGGGTCTAACTGTGACTGCAATGCAATTTTAAGCATATCATTTAACTTCATATTTGGAATGCTGTTTATCATATAACGTTCACATGTGCTAAACTGACTGAACGGAGCAGGGTGGCTGGCGTTCAGGCCCCAGTGAACGAGGTGTTGCGTTCGACTCGGAGACAGACGTTCGCTGCTCCTTATTTCAGACATTCTTTCTGTTTTCCATTTTGTTTACTTTTGCAATTTTTTTCTCCTTACCTTTATGCAGCAGGGAAGGTGGAAGTGTTTTGAGGTAGGTGAAAGGTTAATTAGTACATCAGTAACACAGAGTTCATGGAGGGTCACACCGTTGGTGCTAATAATGCCGCTAGGATATTTTTAAACCAAGTGCAGGCTCTTCTGATCCAGTGAGAGACAGCGCCACACAGACTGGAAAGTTACACATTCGATCCTGGCTCTGTGCTGAGTTATCCGATCTCAGGCAGGGCTGCAGCTCGCCTCAGTGCCCTGGCTCAAGGAGGAGGGGAGGAAGTGGGATGCAAAATCACCCCACTCCTGGTTGCCACTCTTTGTTGGAAAGCATGCAGGTCAGGATAAAATTGGCTTAGGATGAGGTCACAGCTAAACTGACTGAACTATGTGCCCATGCAGTGGCTCCAGAACTGTGTCTGTGAGCATCTCGTGACCAGTCCATGCCGTTTAACTGGCTACCTTATTTACGAGGAAACTGTCCCTGGTGTCAGAAAGGTCAACTGACACTGGGTTGGTCAAGGACTAGGCTGAATTTCCATGCCAAGAACAATCTAAGCTGTTTCCTTCTGTCCTGATGAGAACAATGGAGAGGACAGAGGGATGGCAAGACAAAGCCAAGGTGAACACACAAGTGATATGCCATCGTAACAAGCATAGGCAAATGGACCACCACATTTCCCAGCCAAGTGCACACTCGTGCGGTTTATGTAGTTTTGCCTTCGACCTTGAAAAAGAAATCACAACAGATGTGTTTCAGGAGAATACGTTTGCAAATTCTCCAACAACAGGTTTCTGCTGCTGAGGTCAAACAAAATGCCAGGGTTCATGACAGTTTTGAAGTGAGAATATTATCATGGAGTCCGTTGTGAAATCATACATGTTTTATCCCTATTTATAATAATTTCCCGAAACACACCCCAAAGAATAACTCAAACACGTTTTCCTGCCTGTGCACACTTTCACACTAGTATATTTGCACCAGCAAGTACATTTTATGGGGTGTCCACAAAGTCATGCATACTCTCTTACAAAACAGCAATCTGAGACGAGGGAGGAGCTGAAACAAGCTGTCGGAGATGCCTTTCGCCCTTGTCACTCCATCCATGTTACGGAAGATGTCGCACCACATATGGCGACGGATCATTATCTGCCATGGAAATGATGCGCTCACCTGGTTCCCCTGGATATCTAAATGCAGTTAACCAGTTGTACTTAATAAAATTAAGTACTTCTAAATAGAATTATCCTCATTCTTTTACGTTTCAGTTGGTGGTCAGTGCACTGTAGAAAATAATACCAGGGTAACAGGACCTTGTGGACACCTGTGTTCACACATGGCGAGAAATCTCACCTGGTTCCAGATTTACTCTATTAATATAGAACGTCCAGAACTTGGAAAAAATTTCAACACCAACCGCCTTTAAAGGCATTAAAGATTCCATACGCTATTGGAAAAGAGAAGTGAGTTTCTCTCTCCCGGTGTCCTGGCCAACCATCCCCCAAATAAAATTGGTCACTCGCTCCATGGCTTGTTGTGCCCAAATTGGCTGCCACATTTGCGCACAAGTGCACAGTCACTACAATGGATAGCAACTACTTGTGAAGCTCTTTGAGAGGTTTTGACATTATAGGCATTCTATGGAGTGCAAGGATTATTATTATTCTATTTGGACTGTTTGTCGGCAAACTTAAAATATAACACTCTTCTGTCATCCGGCATTGACTGGACAGCTTCCTGCACATAGTGCTTGGTGAAGAGGGTCTCCTGAGAGGGTCAGCGGTGTTTGATTAACTGACGGAAACATTTGCGAGAGCGCTGATCCTTCGGTTTCCTGCAACATCAGTCTTCACCTGTTGTCCCCCAAGCATATATTAAGCATCACTGGGTTTGATTTCATGGACTCAGTATGTTCTGATGGGGTCAGACTATCTTATACGGTGTTGGCCCCCACTCTGCGTCACGGGGGATGGTTGAGGTGTTAGAGAGTGAGTGGCTGCGGTTGCTTTTTCAGGTCTGCAGGGAGTTCCAGCGCGGAAACTGCACCCGAGGTGAGAACGATTGTCGCTTTGCCCACCCGGCCGACATCGCGATGGTGGACACCAACGACAACACGGTGACCGTCTGCATGGATTACATCAAGGGCCGGTGCTCCCGGGAAAAGTGCAAGTACTTTCACCCCCCCGCCCACCTGCAGGCCAAGATCAAGGCAGCCCAGCACCAAGTCAACCAAGCCGCTGCCGCCCAGGCTGCTGCCACTGCTGCCGCCATGGTGAGTACATGCCGGCTTCTGACCAAAACTGCGAGACGCCGTGCGCGGGCTTAGTGTTAAACCCCACCTCTACACACCCAACACTGCTTATGTTCTCCTCCCTTGAATAACGTAAAGCCCACTGGCACGTTCAGAGCAAATTACGCATAGCCTCGTAGCGCAGCTTATTAAAATACCATTGTACGCCCGTCTGATAAATAGAGCAGAACTTTTAACATCTGAGTCCCTAATAACCGCTTCCAACCGGTTCAGAGCCTTTGCATTAGTTGTCTAGACTGTGTAATATCTCTCTCTCTCTCTCCTCTCATTACTGTTTTACTGAATACACCGAATGCTAGTTCACGGTAAAGCTTGTTCTGCGGTCATTTTAGTGGCGTAGTTTAATTAATCCGTGGGGGGGGGTGGGGTGGGAGGAGAGGAGATGGATGTTGTGTTCAGGTTCCTCGTGAGACCCTCTCACGAGAAACAAAACGCAGGGACGCAGCACCTTCCCCCCTCGCCTCCCCTCCCCACCCTCTCTTGTCCCGCTTCAATAGGACGACAGTGTTTGTAATTAACTTTAATACGCGTGTTTAGCCTCACAATAATGAGTCCGTAGTGCCTTTACTGTGCATGCTTAGTCGTGTTATTTGTTGTATATGGCATTCCGATGATTGGTTTTTTTTTATTTGTTTTTTTCCTCACCTACGCACAATGCACTGCTGCTCCCCATGATGCACCTCTGCTTGCTGTTTATGTTAATGCGCTTGAATCCCCATTGCCATCATGTGCTCGCTGCCTGTTAATTAAGACTCAGTCGGCTGTCAAATCACTGAAGCGACCCCTCGAGGCAACCTTTGACCTGGTACTATGACCTTTCACCTTTTAGCTTGGCATGTAGCATTATTAGAGTTACAGGTTGTAACTTTTAAAAGAATCGAGATCTAGAGTATTTTTCTTTGGAGGGGGGTGTTGGGGTGTATCGGGAGGTGGTTGGTGGGGGAGTAAGCGACGGGTCTGATCGCGGCAATGCACGGCGGTGATCCAAGTGGCCCAATGGTTTCACGATTTGTTTCAAAGAAGGATTTAATTTCACAAAAATCTAATCATTTCGCCTCCCTCAATTACAAAGAACATCTGCAAAGATGTCTGAAAAGCAGCCACCGGGGCTGACTGAAGCTCCACACCAAATTCATCACCGTGTATTGCCCTGACAGAAAGCTTTGAGTGCGGGAGGGGGCGTTAAAATTTTTATTCATAATACTGTAATCTGTATCGATGAGGATGCATGGCTTGTGTTAAAGTCTTAATATGTAAACGTTTGTTATCAGTGTTTAGACTCTTGCATGCTTTGGTGCGGTCTGCATGGGAGGGGGGGTGCGGGGTATTACTTCAATTTTTAGAGATTACTACATATCTTTTATTAATTGCTCTTTAAGTCTAGTTAACATTGCTTTCAGCAGTGCAAGTGCGTCTTTCTGTTTATTTGTAGACTTGAGCTTTGCAATGTAGAGCGTAGATACGTACAGTAAAGTGCAAATCAGCCAGTTCAGCCAGTTAAAAACAGTAACGCTTGCTTCTTTTAAGCTCCGTTTTATCATTGTTGTTTTTTAATTTAGACCCTCGTCCTGTTTTAGCTGGTAAAGAAAGTTTGTCGCTTGCTTGCTTTTAATGGCTAGATATGAAAATGGATGCCTTCTTCCCACACTGTGTACTGATTTCCTGTTCTTGTTTCACTCTCGTTCCCCTCACTCCACCTTTCGATTGTAGGGGCTACCTCCAGGCATACTCCCTCCGCTACCAAAGAGACCTGCTCTAGAAAAAGCCAATGGTGCCACCACAGTCTTTAACGCTGGTGTTTTCCAATATCAACAAGCCCTAGCAAGCATGCAGCTGCAGCAACAAACAGCCTTCATCCCTCCAGGTAAGCCTGACGACTCTGATGCTAGTGCTGGACAGATGTTGTTGTGAAGCACCTTACACCATCCCACTAACAAAACCAATCCCATGATCGGATCTCAGTGTTTGATCTGCTTGGGTCTCTTTCCTCTCTCGGTTTACATGGTGAACGCTTTCTTTGCTCCAACGCAAGCAGATAGGAGGAATAGCTCAGTGCTCTGCCTGGGGCCTGACCTAGTTATTGAGCATCAGCAATAATAATAATAATAATAATCCTTGCATTTGATATAGCGCTTTTCACGTCGGGAGGACATCCCAAAGCGCTTCACAGAACACACTGTAAAGTGAATTGACTGTATATTTGTGGGCGAACGCAGCAGCCAATTGCGCACAGCAATGTCCCACAAACAGTCGTAGATTGCAAATGACCAATTTATTATTGCTTTTGGTTTTTGGAGGGATTATTATTAGGCTCTGTGTCGAGTAAGGAAACTTGCCCAAGGTTTCGCCCTCTGCCTGGAATTGAACTCGGGTCTCTCGCTTGCAAAAGCGAGTGCTCTAACCACTGAGCTACAGGACTCCACAATGGTAGTGCTTTAAAACCACTCTTGTTGCACCACGCACCAATTTCTCAGACTGTGGGTGGGCTAAGGGTTCATTCTACATACAGACCGGCAATACAAGTTATACATTCCTGATCTTCTAGATTGCTAATGTCTGGAGGCCAGAATAAACCCAGATGGTACTTTCAAACAACTGCATGTGAATGCAACCCAAAGTGCAATTGAGTGCAAGTGAGGAGAGTGGCTGAATTAAGTCAGTTTTCTTTTCTCCTGAACCCAAAAGTCATCCTTCAGGGCAGCAGAACTCACCCGCCCCAGAGCTGAAATATTTATGGAGTGACACTGCAGAATTAGATAGTGTAACGGGAGGGGGAGAGAGTTAATGAGCATGGTATTTTTGTTTGAGACTAAGAAACCTCGGGCTTTTCATTAATTTTTTTTACCAAAAGCACTGCAAATGTCACGTGTTCGATACCCAGTTAATTGGTCATTTCTTCTTAAAGGGTATTTAATATCACTGTTTTAAGTAAATGTAAGAAAGTTCATGTTGAGTAAACACAGAGAGAGCAGCCACCAGGTCTAACCTGCATCACAGGTCATTTCCATTCTCCTATCTGCTTCCGTTGCCTGAGTTTTTAATGTTTTGGTTAAAAGACTGTACTTCACAAAGGTTTGCTGCAGGTCTCTGGGCAAGAAAACCCTCCCACCCCCCCCACCCCAATTTAACATATATTCAAGTATAATATAACTATAATATAATTGAAATTATATTACACTCACAGACACACAAGTATAATATAATCACTGGTTGATCATTGGTGGCCAACTTCTTTAGTTGGCTAACAAAATACCACTGTTATAGTTAGAAATCCCTGGTCTTTTGAGTAAAATGTGGCTTTGAGTCTATCAGATCAGAATTGGTAAAGCTAAGAAAGTGGCAGCAGCGTTTAGCGAGAAGTGGCCACAGTAAAGAGACCTGCAGCATTCAACCCATCCAAATATTTGGCCATTAGTGCAGCCAACCTGATGATTTAGTCACTGCCGCTTCATGTTTGATTTGCTTCACATTTGACTCCAGGCTATGTGTGCTGGTGCAAACAGCTTCTCTCTCTTGCTGTTATCCACCGTCGTGACTTTGTGTTAGAAATCTGCGTAGTTGCATTTTCGTGGCTTTGGCTTTGAGAGTCTAATTGCATATCCGCTTCCTCTGAGTCTCTGACGATTTTGCTCAGGACCTTTATGCTGCCACTGAACATAGCGCAGCAAGGGTTAACCACCGACAGCCACCTCTTAGTGACTAAAGGCTCCAAATTTCCACCCAGCCTCAGGTTGTGAGACTGTTTCTGCCTTAAAATGTAACGTGCTGAGTATTATGACATATTCTTCAGTCCATCCTTAATTTGGAAGTGGTTTCTTTTTAAGAATTGCAGCTTCCAAATTAAGAGTGAATTCTGCACCATCTTAAATTTCAAGACAAAATGGTTTCACAGGTTAAGACTAGGAGGATTAGCCTCGTCAATAGTTAGCCAAATTTTGTCATAGTATTAGAGTTAGGATTAGAGCTACCCAGGCAGCAGTAGAGATGATATATTGAGCTGCAGGGCAGTGAGAGAGATCTATTGTGATGGGCAGAGCAGCTGTAGAGATTATAGTTAGGTACAGTGCAGCAGTAGGGATCTAAAGTGAGATGGAGAGCAGTGGTAGTGTGAGATGTAGGATAGTAGTGATCTATATTGAGATGTAGAGCAGTGGTACGGATATATAGTGACACGTAGAGCAGTGTAGAGATCAACAGTGAGGAGCAGGGCAGTAGGGGGAACGTATATTGAGGCCTCGTGAGCTGCTGTGGTCCCTGGTGCTGCGGGTGGCAGTGTAAAGAGGTGGTTTTATAACCAAATCGCTAAGCGTAAGCTTACCAGCACACATGTGTAAGTCTGTATCTCACAAAGCACACTGTTTCTAATAGAGCAGCTAATGTATGATTTGATTGTGCTGACCCAGCACAGACCACTGTTTCCCTCAATAACATTTGTTTCCTCCTTGTTCCCATGGTTTCTAATGACACGTGTGATGGGTTTTTTAATTCTTTTCCCCTTCAAATCCACCTTCCTGTTGCAATGCATGATGGGCAGGCTCAATATTGTGCATGACACCAGCTACAAGTGTTGGTAGGTGCCAGCTTTGTTTCTTGATTATCTGTACACATAGAATTACATGTGACCCCCTTCGAAATCCACTCTCGAGATTAGCTATCCTTCAGCCAGTGAATTAATGCCCTATAGCATACCACCCTACTCCGCTCAGCCAACCGTCCTTTGGCAATCCAAACATTTTTGAGACCCCGGCTCGGGGTCAGACTGAACCACCTTCAAGCACACATCGCAGGCACCTCGAGGCACTGAGCAACAGTTTAAATCACCATACTCTTTACATTTCATATAGCGCCTGATCATCACGTCCCAAAAGCGCTTCACAGGATATACACCAGCATTGTAATCTGTTTGTTCCCTCTTCTCCCACCTGGCTCTCTTGCTTTACACAAAATGCTTTATTTTCACATCCAGAAGCGCTTCACTGGCTTGAAGCAAGTTGCTGGTTAGGACAAAAGCGGGAGTTGAATTTGACAGGTCTGAGCACTTGGTTTAGAATTATCAGCTTTTACTCTATAAATTCAGTAAAATGCAGCTTTTAATTATGATATATGAAGAGATCAACTTTAATAATTTTTTATGGCATTCATAAAATAACTATTTGTACAATGTTGTAATGGAGAGATGTCCTTATTTTGAAGCATATGATTAATCTGACTTTAACTTATTGGTAGTTTGATAGGCTGCTTATAGCAAATATTGTCATTAATATTGTATCAGTTGATGTTTGCGTCAAATTTATGGTTTTATTGTAACAAATGTTTTTTATTTATTTTATTTTTCTCCTCTGCCCTTCCCTCTCTTTCTCTGATTTTTCTCTTTTTCTCTCTGTATTTCTGTCTCCGTCTCGGCATGGGTCTTGTCCCTCTTTCTTTGCCTCTTTCTTTGCCTCTGCCTTGCTGTCTGTCTATGTTTCTGTCAATATCTATCTGTATCATCTATCTTTCTCTCTCTCCCTCGGTCTATCTCTCTGTCCCTTCTCTCGGTCTATTTCCCTCTTCCCCCACCTTCTCTCTTCAACACTCCCCCTTCCACCCGGTCTCTCCCTCCCTTTCTCTCTGTCCCCCTCTTTCTCTCTCTCTCTCTCTCTCTCTCTCTCTCTCCCCCTCTCTCCCCACCCTGCCCCATTCTGCTTTGACGTGCCTTTACCTGGATAGTACCCATGATGCACGGAGCCACACCTGCCACTGTGTCCGCAGCAGCCACATCAACCAGTGTGCCCTTCGCCGCCTCCGCCACAGCCAACCAGGTTTGCAAATTTACAGGCAATCTTTCTCACAAGCACCTCACCCGCAGCCATTTGAAATGTGTACAGAGTGTTCACAAAGCCGAGTTACCCTCCTTTCTCCCCGCACCCCCCACCATCATAGTGCACTGATCAACAACTGAAACATGTGGAAGAACGATGATAATTGTATTTAGAAGTACGTAATTGTATTCAGTACAAATGGTTAACTGTGTTTAGACGTCCAGAGGATTGGTGGGTGTTAGCGCCATCATTTTCATGGCAGATAATGATCCATCGCCATGTTTCAGCTCCTCCGTAACCTCATATCTCTGGTGTAACAATGGGGTTGAGAGGATGTGGTGGACATCCTGTCTATTTTCACTGACATGCATTCGGGACCCTGAGTGACAGAATTAAAATATGCAGCCCATTTAATGAACAAAATATCAGTTATTTACTTCCATCAGAAAGCTTTTATTTGAGTCTGTGACCAGCTTTTTATTGTGTACTTCAGTTTTATGCAGTGGAACTTTATTTTTCTTTAATTTATCATCATGCATCGAGATGAGGGGTGTTGACACTGGGAAATACTTTCCCATATTGGGCACCAAAGTGTAACCAACTCAGCATTGCCAGGTCAACTTAGCATGAGGCAGAGACAGAATAAAACTCCCTCCGTCTACACTGTCACATCCAGCACTCCCAGATACAGCACTAGTTAGATACAGAATAAAGCTTCCTCTACTAAGCTCTCATGCTCTGAGTGATTGGGTAAACTCACACACTGGTGTTTCAGACACAGTGTCATTAACATGAGTCACAAGTAGTGATGCCTGCTGGTAACTGGATGCAGACCACGTTGACCTGCCGAGTTCCACTTTGTTTACAGAAGCACTTGTGGGTTCTACTCCTCAAGGCCAGTATGTGCAATAAGAACGTGAATGCAGCTATCCCCAAGCCATGGTGAGGATCTGTACATCAAACGCCCCTCCAAACACACCTGTCCAGAGTTACCTTGACCCTAAAAAGGTCATGTCTCCTGACCGGAAATCGTATTGTTATTGGCCAAAGCTCTTTCTCACTGAGGGACAAGAACAACCAGCCATGTGCCATGATAAATTATTCCTCGTGGCGTCTTTAATGTGCAGCGTAGAGTCCTGTTCTAGGTAGTAGCACCCTTTGTCTCGTGGTAATATCCCCTCTTGGAGTTTGGTCGCTGCTGAAGTTGCCTCTGTGTAGAAACCACAGTGTGCTTCCTGCCATTATATTGATTCTGATTCTTTCCACTCCCTGTCGCAGCAGATAAGCTCACAGGAGGAGGTTTGGACAGGAGCCAGTCTGGCTGGGGAAATGGTCAGAGCTCAAACAATATATATATATATAAATCAGAAATAGTTTTGCTTTATTGACAATGGGCTGAACATTTTAATGGAACATATGAAGATCTCTGATTCCTTTACAAGTGTTTGAATCCCCAGCAAGTTCCCAATATTAGGGTGCAATCACCAGCTCCCCTAACAGCACGAGAAGTCAGAACAGGCACAGCAACAACAACAAGATTACACTTGTATAGCGCCTTTCATGTCGGTAGATTTCTTCAGCTTGTAGTTGAACCCTGCTGGGAAGCAAGGTTAGCAGGATCCCCACCCTCTCTTTGCTGAATTTGAGATGGGCCAGCAGTCAGGGTTACAAATGTCCCAGAGGTTCGGGAGAGGAAAATCAACCGGGACTCCTGCTACTGATCACTATCCAGTGCTCCCTGCTGGAAGGTTGAGGGTAGGATCCAGCTCAGCTCCAATGTTCCCTTGGACTAAGACATCACGGGGTGTCCATGACCCTGTAATTAATCTAATCCTTGCATTTGATAATACACCTTATCACATTGTCGAAACGTCTCAAAGCGCTTCACAGGATATACTGTAAAGTGCAGTGACTATTTTGTGGATGAACCGTGGCAGCCAGTTGCTCACAGCAATGTCCCACAAACAGCCATGGTGTGAGTGATCAACTTTACGTGGGGGATTGTTGGCCAGTACACCAGGAGAAACTCCTTTTTTTTGAAATTGGTGCCATAGGATCTTTAATGTCCACCTTGAACAGGTAATCGGGACCTCAGTTTAACATCTCATCCAAAAAATGACACCTCCATATTTGTTAAATACAGAATCCTGTTCCTCATCATTTAATATCATTGCACAGAGCTTTGGACTCTTGTTTCTTTCCTAGAGAGTGACATTTTTCCTAAAGAAAATATTTCCTCTTCCTGCCCCTATTTTCATGAGAGAGTGACTCACACTAGGGCGCGGCTCCAGAGCTTGTTTCATTTCCCAAAGTCCATTGTAGGAGAAAGCACAGAGACTGTGAGGTTTTGTTAGACTGCAAAGTGCATCTTAATCCTGCCCTCACTTATGGAACAACCTGACATACCATAGCTACAAGAGCACAATTCCCTCACTTGACATAAACTGAAGTGTATGACGCTACTTCCAATGCAAGGATCATTATTCTACCCTCTACTCTGTGACGGTGAATAGCAGCTTACAAGAGTGTGGAGTAACGGGTGGAGATCAAAATGCTGCCCCGTCCACCATGTCCATCACACTCACACCCACATCCCTCTGGTTTGCCCCCCAGGCTCCTTTATGCTCCCAGAAAACACAATTAGCCATTTTGCAAATATTGCACAGGAGATGCCGTTGTGTATGTTCTAAGTTATTGCAGTTATTTGTACTGTGAACATTTTTTTTCCAGTTAATAGCTGTCTTTAGCCTTTTCCATGTTAGTTGGATGTGTTTGATGAGCCACACATATTAACCTGGTGTCATTCTCTTCCTCTCTGCAGATGCCCATAATATCTTTAGATCATCTGACTAGCCACAAGTATGTTACTCAAATGTAGGACGTTCCTTGATGAAAGAGTAAGTAGATTCATTTCCTTGGTTTTCTTCCTTCCATAGTATCAGCAAAATGATTTCATGCATTGGGGTTTATTTGTTCAGTTTTCACCTGGTCTCCCCACTCTCTTCAAAGCATGAGGAGGTGTTCGGTTCCCTCCTGTGCTTCAGACAAAAGGCTGTTCTGCCTATGTATGTGTGTACCTTCATAGACATCTCAGAAGGGACCTGAAAGAGGGGTATTGGTTTCTAAATGGGAATTGAGAAAATAAATCAGAACAATAATTTCAGATAAGCCAAGACAGCAGGACAAGAGGTGAACAAGTTCAGCTGCAAAGATCAAGTTCAAAACCAACAGGAAGTATTGTCATCCACAGGGTCATTAACATCTGGAACAGATTACAGTTTCAGGGACTCCTTTAAGAAACGGCTCATTGGGTATTCTAGAACGATGAGATCAAATGGGCACAAGGTCTTTCTATTTCCCAACCTCTCTTGTTGTGAAGGATTGTGAAGTCCTAGAGATGTGCTGCCCCCAGGAGGTTGTTTGTGTTAATTGTCCTGATAAGGTCGCCATAATTTTACAATGGCATATTCTGACTTTGTGGCACTGTTATAAACCCACAAACTTATCTTTGGAATGATAGATAATATCTTATCTTTGGAATAATAGATAATGGTTTTAATTCATTTTCACCCCTTCAACATATGCTCACACACTCACGTGCGTATACAAACACGCACGTGTATACACGTTTGCGGTTGTGTGTGCTGTGCTTTCTATCTGTACTCCTGCTTGTGCATGTCAGAGATGTGAGAAATTAATTCAAACATATTTTGTAACAATTACATACAGACAAAGCTTTTTGATCGGTTTTGTGAGGGAACCACTTGTTGTGGGTGTTTCCATGGAAACGGGCAGTTTGGCAGCAGCAACCTTATCAATATACATCAGGGCATCTTGCAACATATCCTTCACATTCACTCAAATATCTTTTCAGTCAGAAGCTCTGGAGCACACTTGTGACTGTGCGTGTGTGTGTGGGAGAGGGTGTGAGGAGCTCAAGATAACAAAGGACGGGAAATCTAAGCCAAATAAAAAAAACAGAAAATGGCCCGTGCCTCAACACACAATTAAAACAACTTAATCCGCCTTAATTCTGCAAATCCTCATTTGTGCCAGCCTGATACTAAGAGGAGAAAATCATTCTTTTCTCTCAGGCACCTTCAATAAATATATAATCCTTGCATTTTGATTTCACCTCATCGAAATGTCTCAACCTCTTCACGGGATTTACAGCCAAGTGTAGTGATGATTTATTTTGCACGAACATCTGCCTCCATGTGCCAGATGTGAAGAGTCATTTATGCTTATTATTATTTTAATCCAATTGAGCATTCCCCCCTCAAAATCTGGCTGGCAGCGTGTCAGCGTGAGGCTTTCTCATCTTCATTGTCTTTAGTGTAGCGGACTGGTTCCTGCTATTCAACAACAACAAAATTTTGCATTTATATAGTGCCCTTCACACGAGATAGCGTCTTGGACCTCTTGACAGTAGCAGAGCCTGGGAGATTTGAGTATGATGTCCGTAAGCACGGTAGAAAGGTCTGAACACAGGCAAGGATGAGACAATGTAGAGGGATTGAGGCCAGGTCATTGGTGGCCTTTGGCTGAGGATGAGATAAAGTCAAGATCTGAGCGGAACATTACTGGGATAAATTGTTACATCCTAAGTGTAACAACCTCACCTGCAGGGGATAAACACAGTGCATTTCTGAATACGAAATGTATCCTTATCGGATTCCTGCAATAATCGGCCCGAAATTTCAGTCTTTTCAAACAGTTTTGCTTTAAAATTTAGGATGTGCAGAATTGTGGTAAATTCTTACATCAAATCTTAATTTAGCAGCTGATTTCTTTCTAAACATTGCGGGCAAAGGCTTTCCAAGTTTAGACTGGAGTTAAGAATTTGCACAATTTGGTATCACCTTGTGCTAAAAATTTGTTCTTCGGGACGTGCTGGCGAAAATTTCTTTCAGTGTTGTGCCCATCGCCTTTGGCGATGTTGGGCACTAATGGGATTTTCCAATTGCAGTCACGCATAGCCAATGCCCTGCGAGGAATGCTGGACCAAATTATTACCCATAATGTTTTAGAAATGAGAGAATTGTGCGTTTCTTAAGGAGAAATCCGTTTAGGAAAAATCGCAAATGAGATTTAATTCTACTGAGTTCCTGAGAAATTATCTTGTAGCCTAGTTTCTTGTGGTAAAGAAGAATTCTCCCAGCTTCATTCTCGTCACAGTATGTCTTTGTCATACAGCTGTGCAACTTCCTCCCCCACCCCTGCCCAGACTGTCTGGAGTTATTACAAGTTTATTACACTGCAGAGGAGCTTCACTCTGTTTGTATGCCAGGCTCTGGTTGCCTTGGAAGAGCATCTTTTGCCCAGCCAAGTGCTGACTATACGAGACACGCTCAGAGGCATGGGTTCTAAACAGTGACTGCAGTTAACAACACTGCCAGCAGGCGGCCAAACTTGTGCTTGTTTCCCTCGTCTCACCCCCTTCGCCCCATCTTATACCTCTGATGTGAAAGATGCTGCGTAAAATGCAAGCATTATTATATTTGTTATTAATAATGAATGGAATCATAAAATGTGACTTGGGTTTATGTCCAGTGAAATTCGGCTATGTCTATGTACTTGCTCCCGCACTGCAGCTCTCCAATCCCAGAATAGCTAGAACAGATTACCAGAACGGGTGTTTGGGGCTCAAAGGCAGAACTCAGTAAGAAATGTCTTGATGTTATGTTGGGAGCATGGGAATTCTGGCAGGAGGAGATGAAATGGTCTGAAGGGCTTTCTTCACCTAAATCTCAGTTGTGATTAATCTGTCTCTGTAGCATTAAATGTGCATCAGGAATTATAGCTGCTTTGTTCTCTCTGGTCCCTGTAGATCAGCATGAAGAGATGGCAGTACGCTGGAGCTCCTTCCAGGGCAAGAGTGAGCAGCCATTCTGTAAATACCACCATCCGATTCCCAATCCCACAACAGTGAAACCTTCTACATTTTGCATGCTTACGAAATGGGAGAATGGTTCATCAGGAACAAAATGTCCAATTGGAAAAATCCAAATGCCGCAAACTGAGACTTCCACCCAGCCTTGAGTGTTTCACCAGCAGCAGAGCTGGGAGAAGGTCTCAATCAACATCCAGCGTCATTCGCCTTTTCTCGTACTGAATTATGCATCAAATCCGAGATATGCATAACGTAGCCTATTTCTTACATACAGTATGTCTTGTCTCTTGGATGGAAAGGTAAACAACGATGTACACTTTAATATATAGTATGTATAGGTACCTCCTAGACCAAGCCCATCATTTTCGATGTTAGGAATTAAATGTTTTATTTCAAGTTTACAAAATGGAAAACTGAAAAAAAAAACAAAAAAAAAAAACGGTGCACCTTGTATTTAAAAAATACTATTTTGCCATTAGTGTCAACTTGATTGTGCATGCACAGTGTTCTGTGTTAAGGGTTATATTCTAATAAGATTGTGAGAAGGATTTAAAGAGGCAATGGACAGAGATGAATGTGCTGAGCAAACAACCCGCAACGGTGTCTGACCTTTGTTTTAAAGCACACCATAGCTTTAAATGACGTGTTGTAAGGGGTACACATTAAGTGCCATAGACTGTGCATTTAACTCACAGAGTATTATTACTGCAGTGTTAACACATTTACCGAATAGCCACATTTTGCTCCTGCTAATGCTCCGTCATTAACCTTTTCCATGCCAAAGTTCTCTCTGAAAATGGCACCTTTGCTTCCCAATAACAGAAATGAAACTTTGGGAGCCTTGAGGATGAACTTGTTTGTTGTTCTGCTCTATACAATCGTTATCTGTTAATGCCCAGCGAGGGATATTAATCATATTTAAGACGTGCCATCTTGACTTTGCCAGCGTTGGCAAGTGTTAGTAACAGACCCCTTCACCAAATGCTTCAGAGGAATCATGCTGTGGCATGGGGGGGATTGTTAGCTACAAACTAAGAGTCAAACCACTTCAGCCCCGAAGGTGCCATTTTGCAGAGACCTAAGATTCAACCATTTGTGCAGTTTAATTTGCTCCGATTTGTTCCTCTGTCACAAGTCGATTCGACTATAAACGTTTCTGCGGCGGTGGATCCTGCCTTTGTTCGATCAAAGTCACACACCTATATTCTCTCCCACGCGCGCACGCACACGCACGTAAAAAAAAACCAAATGCACCCACGCGAGAGTGACTCTAAATTAGAAAATCGCAAAGGAGGAAAGAAGCACTGTTATAAGGATGCATGATAAACCAAAACAGGAATTAAATGAAGATGTTTATTAAAATTAGCAACGGGGTGGGATATGTTTTTGGGTGGATTTTATATGTGATTTTTTTCAGAGTAACTGCATTTAAGCCTTATATAAAAAAAACACACAGGTAAAATTATACTGTGTATTTTAATGGTTCATCCAAAAGAAATCTCTTTTTCCTCCCCCCCCCCTCCCCCCACCCCCCTTTCAGATCTTTTGCAGCTTGTTAAGGTGATAGCTTCGCTCTGCTCCGCTCAGCCTGTTCTATGCTGTAGCGGGGCCAGGTGTGTTAGTGAGACAGAAACCGGAGAAGTGAAAGTTCAATTCCTGAATTTTCCATACTTCCGAGCTGAACGCAGGGTTATAAGTAGATAAAGTCAGGAGATGCGCTTGATAGTTTAAGATGGTCGCATTGATTTTTATTGATTGTACTATACATCTATTAAAGCCTTAGATTATATTACGGGTTGGAACCCATTTTAAATGTTATTTCAATCCTGTTTAAGGACATCTAGGTGTAGACTCTATTGTTAATGTAGCCCTTTTATCCTCCTTTCCTTCTTTCAATTTGTAGTTTCTTACATATATAAAAAAAATAGATTTTGTTTTCATTTTTTTTCTATTATGTTTCAATGTTGGATACAGTTTTAATATTTTTTTTAGTTGATAGAATATTTTTGTTTATTAGGATTTAACAGATTAAAAAGTGTCTAAAGTTTTATAGCTTTTTTTCTCCTCCATAATTTACTCATAGTGTTGAATTTACATGTAAGTGTCATTTAATTCTTAAACAGCTAAAGAATGATTTATATTTTACCGACTTACACTTAAATGTAAGCATGTCCGTCATTGTTTCCCTCCTGTAGGTTGCATTTAGAGAACAAATGATATTTTGTACGGATAACTTACAATGATGCACTCATTGGGAAGTTAAGTTGTTGCTATGGCAACAATCCTGGCAGACAATAACGTAATATTTTAATGATTTATTTTCTTTGTAATTAAGTCAAGATGGAAATCTCTAGGTTCCTAGAAATTAGAATTGAAGTTATTTTCTACTGTAATCATTCAGGTTGTAAGATATTGTTTCAGTATTTTTTAAAATCCCTAATCTGGTTCGTCAGACGTTTCTTGAGACAGAAGCTGCATAATCGATAGATTGAGGGATTTTTCTTTTTTTAAAAAAAATGTCATGAATTCAAATATTAATCGAAAGCTTACTTTTTAAGGAAAAAAAGTCAAGAATGAATCTGATTGTGTGCAAAAAAAACTCTTCAGAGGTTGATTATGCAGCAATTAGAGAAAGCGAGGGATGGGAAGCCTGGAAGGTGGTTGACTCTTTGCACTTCTGTACATAGTCAAACAAAGAAAACCTGTAAAATAGTAAGATCTTATTTTGAATAAAAAAAATGTCTATAATAACGAGGAATTTTGTTAAGGTAATTAAAAACGACAGGCTGAACAAAAAAAACTTTAAAAAACTTGCAAAAAAAAAAGAGGGCAGCGAGAGTGACACTCTGAACCGCCCCCGAAAAAGGCAAAATAATGCTTTGCTTCATGTGGCAGTTTGTAGTTTGCCAGGATTATTTTCAGCTAAGAGTGATAAGATATCCTTTCAAGATCTCACGACTGATAACTAACTCCCCACAGGGTTTGAAACAAAGCTCCAAATCATTTTACAGAACAGGTTCATCAGCTGTTAACAGGTTAATGTTCACTAGCAAAATATCTCCACGTCACTTAAGAGAGATATATATATATAACAAATATATATATTTAAGAAAGTGAAAGACATCTTCACATCAATGAATATATATACAATATACAAAATATATATGTATAAAAAAAGAGAGAAATTTATCTAAAAAAAATTATCTACTGCATGTCTAGAGGTTTTCAAACAACAGCAAGGAAAGGAAGGTAAAATTAGACGTCTTATATACTGATCAATCGGTTCTGTAAACTGAATTTGGTCATTCGCTTATCCAGGGAAAGCGAGGAATGGTTCGTACAACTGAAACAAAACAAAATGACTCGTCACTTTCATTTCAACTTTGGAAGAAATGTCTGTTTTAATTTTTTTTGATAAATAAACCAAAAACACACACACACACAGAGTCAGGCACAAAAATAATAATAAAGCCTCACTGAGCTCAATGCTCTTGCAGTTGCTGGTCCTTTTCGCAGTTGAGAGTCGATTTTTAGATAATGAAAATACCCCCTCCCTCCCCGACCCACCTTCCCCCCTAGCCAAAAAGCTCTTAAACAACAACAACTTGCATTTATATAGTGCCCTCGATGGCATCTCGGAGCGCTTAAAACAAACGCACTTAAAAAAGTCAAATGCATATTTTTCCTCCTTCCCTCCCCCACCAAACCAGAGAGAAGACAAGTTTCATTTTATGAAGAAATAAATATTTTTAATAAAAATTCGAAGAATTAAAAAAAATGCAAAAAAAATTTGATCATTTTAAGTTCCCACGAAAAAATCAGTAAAATCGCTACTTATTTTTGTTGCAAAGAAAATTGCAAACAAACCAACCTGTACCTTCACCTGCTAAAAGGACAGATAGATGCTTGGTTTTACTCTTGTATAATCATGGACTTACTTTTGCTTGTAGTTTGATAACGTACACTTCTCTCCTTGGCTGCAAGTTGTTTTTTCCTGCTTATTTCATTATTACCGCTATATCTTTGATTCTTGCTGTATGGAAAAAAAATTAAAAAAAAAACAAAATTGCCAAAAACGCAAAAAATGGTCTGCATTTCACTTTATTGATTGAAGGTTGTTCAGCTTAGCTCGCTGCATGGCATCCCCTTTCTCCTCTCCCACTCTCCTCACTTGCTCCCCCTCATTCTCTCCCTCTTCCCTCCCAATCCCTCTCTCCTTCTCTGGCAAGTTTATCTGGGAAAGAGTGTTACATGGGACCACGGCAGTGCACGGGACACAGAGAGACTGTTGGGGTCCAGTATTAAAGAAAATCCTACACTGCTCTGCCTCTCGCACCTGTCAATGATTGTAGCTGTCTGGTTCCCACTTGAATTTGCTGACACAATCTGCGTCCGTGACGTGTCCACTCTCCACACTCTCCGCTCTGTGTGTAAAGTGTTTCACTCTGGACTGGTTGCTCACTGTCCCGCTCCTGACCTTGGAGACCGCAGCTTCTCGTTATGACTGTTAAACTGGTTATTAGGGTTTTCTTTATAACCTTTAGGGTCGGGAATATTTCAGTCAGATTTCCCTGAGCCTTCTCTTCTCCAGGGGAATCATTCCGCTTCCAAAGCCTCTCCAGGTACCACTGGTCCGGATTCCAGCTCAGTGTAGTTGTCTATTCTTCCACTGCACCCCCCCCCCACACACGTACGCAATAGAATGCCAAAACATTCTTATGTTGACTGTATAATGGAGTTGGCAATGAAGTTCCAGGTAATTTCGCACAGCGGTGACCCACAACCAGTCGTGGATTGAAGTGGCCAAATTTTTATGTTTTTTTTTGGAGGGATTATTACTCTCAGAAAGCAATCTGCCAATGGACTAACAACCGAGTTCCTGCTTACTGCTAGATAAACAGCGGAGTGTGGAGTAAGGAAACTTACTCTAAGGTTTTGCCCTGACTGGGAATCGAACCTGGGTTCTCTTGCTTGCGAGGTGCTCTTACCCTTACTCTGGCACTCCCAACATAGGAATAGGATTGAATAGGGCATAGATGAATGTTTCACTCAGAGAATGGCTGTATAATGTATGCAAGGCACAAGTTGTGGAGGATCCGGGGAGGCAGGGGTCCAACCAGATAATAACGAACAGGAAAGACCGTTCAGTTCTGGCTAAAGGTGCTGCAGTGTGTTCTGCAAAGGAGCATTTGGATCACATCAGTCACACAAATTTAACCCAAGAGCACAAGCAAGTTTCAAAATTCACTGGCTTTTTGTTTCACTTTTGAAAAAGCGTGATGCTCAACATGCATTATTTGCTCTCGCGACTGAGGAGCCGAGCGCTGTGAGGGGAAGTGCTTTTGCTTGGAATTCAATGGAAAATGACAGGAGATCTCAACCCCAGCCCAGAGCAGGGGTTACATTCTTCATCCACCTGATATCCATTCCCAGTACTGTCAGCAGTCCAGCTCAAACCATAGCACTCTCGCTTCTGAGTCATGAGGTTGTGGGTTCAAGTCCCCCACGTCAGCACTCAGTCTATGCTGACACTCCGGGGAGCACGGTATTGTCAGAGTTCGGATGAGCCTTAGTTAAACTGAGGTCCCATCTGCCTGTTCAGGTGGATGTTAAAGATCCCATGGCACTATTCAAAAAGAGACGGGAGTTTAACCTGGTGTCATGGCCAACAAACCTCCAAATAAAATTGGCCACTCACTTCATGGATGTGTGGGGGATATTGCTGTGCATAATTGGCCTCTGTGTTTGCCTACAAATAAACAGTCACTACACTGTACAGGGTGTTTACAAAGTCCTGTTACGCCCATTTTTTTTCCTACAGTGCACTGACCAACAACTGAAACGTGGAAGAATGATGATAATTGTATTTAGAAGTAGTCAGTACAGGTGTTTAACTGTATTTAGACGTCCAGAGGATCGGTGTGAGTGTGTGAGCGTCATCATTTTCATGGCAGATAATGATCCGTTACAATGATCGGAGCGACATCTGTAACATGGAATGAGTGAGGAGGAAGTTACTGGTATCAGACATTATTACACTCGACTCGTCTGCAACTGAAAATAAGAATTCAAGGTAAGAAAACGGGGCGGGCGGGGAACAGGAGTTTTGTGAATCCTGTGAAGCTCTTTGAGACATCCTCCGGATGTGAGAAGTCGCTGTATCAAATGTAAGGGTTATGATTATTATTAGCCTGTGCCCGGTTCAGTGTGACCCTCACTCACATCATCAATAGTCCTTCTACACATTTCAGGCTTTAAGACTCGGGTTTACCAGTTCTGGACTATGCCACCAGATGGCGCACTTACCACCAGATTGTGGGAATCCGCACAGGGAGGCTGCCCACTTGGAGCTCTCTCTCCCCATCGTGTCTGTGCTGGTGCTCCCCCACCGAACCTCTCTACTCTAACACCATGTCTCTTTCTCCATATCCTCCCCCCAGAGGAAGGACAGGCAGCGATTTGTGAATGTTTGAGAACTATGTCAGGCAGGGTTGGGGAGAGAGATCCCCAAGCCTTGGCTCTTGCCAACCTGCGTCTAATACTTTCTGAGATTAGGTAAGGAGGATGTGTCCCTCCAGGGAGGGAGTGCACATTCCATTCCAACAATTTATCCATGTGCCGGTTTGGCACCAAATCCCAGTTTGGTTGGGATACCCTTAAACATGGTGATGGCTTTAGGCATTTGTGTCAAGACACCCGGCTAACCAGAAAACAAATGATGAGATGATGAGATCAGAGGTGTTGATGGTGCAAGACAAGTGAAGGCAATAGTGAGAGATTATAGAAAGAAGAAAAAATGTATCTGAGACTAAGAGGCTGTGTGAATGGTTATGAAAGGAGGGATGAAGTGCCTGTAGGTGGCGCCTCAGACAACACAATGTCAACCTCGGTGTGTTTGATAAATAGCTGGTTGTGTTGAGGTGAATTCAACCCATAGATTGTTCAGACCCAGTCAACAGTGTTACTCAGGAAGTTAACGTAGAATATACAAGAGTGTTTTTTTGTCTTAAAATCTAAGGATGGTGGAAAATTATGAAATCCACTCTTAATTTGGAAGCCGGACATAGAATTATACAGCACAGAAGGAGGCCATTTGGCCTATCGTATCTGAAAAGAGCTACCCAAATCAATCCCACTTCCCCCGCTCTCTCCTGCAAACTTGTCCTCCCCAAATAATTATCTACCTCGAATCTTAAAAGTTATTGATTCGACTTCCACCACCCTTTCATGCAATGCATTCCAGATCCAAACAACTCAATGTGTAAAACATTTTCTCTGAACCTCCCCTCTGCTTCTTTCAGCAACTATTTAAAATCAGTGTCCTCGGGTTACTGACTCATCCATCAGTGAAAATAGTTTCTCCTTGTTCACCCTATCGGATCCCCTCACCATTTTGAAGACTTCTGTTAAGTCTCCTCTTAACCTTTTCTGCTCCAAGGAAAATAATCCTAGCTTCTCTAGCCTGTCCTCATAACTGAAGTCCCTCATTCCTTGTACTATCCTTGTAAATCACCTTTGCACCCTCTCCAATGCCTTAATATCCTTCCTAAAGTGTGGTGCCCAGAACTGAACACTGTCTCTCGCTGAGGTCTAACCAGTGTTTTATAAAGGTTCATCATTGACTTTTGTATTCTATACCCCTATTTATAAAGCCTTATATCCCGTATGCTTCATTAACAGCTTTGTCTACCTATCCTGCCACCTTCAAAGATTTACTTATATGCAACCCCAGGTCCCACAGTTCCTTCACCCCCTTTAAGATTGTACCGTCAGCTTATATTGCCTCTCCTCATTCTTCTTCCCAAAATGCTTCACTTTGTATTTCTCCACATTAAGCTTCATCTGCCACGTGTCTTGCCCGTTTTACCAGTCTGTCTCTGTCCTCTTGCAGTCTGCTACTACCCTCCTCATTGTTTACTACTTTTCCTAGCTTCGTATCATCTTGGAAATTGTACTCCCTATACCGAGTCCAGGTCATTTATATAGATCAAAAACAGCAGTGGTCCCAATACCGATCCCTGGGGGACAACACTGCACACTTCCCTCCAGCCAGAAAAATAAACCTTCACCATCATTCTCTGCTTTCTGTCTCCCAGCCAGTTCTGTATCCATGCTGCCATTGACCCTTTAACACCACAAGCTTCTACCTTGCTTACAAGTAACATAACAACACACAAAAAAATCTCACAGGCTGAGACTAGGCGGAATTCTGGGTCATTGTTTTGTAGTTTAAAAAAAAGTGGAGTTGTGAAAATATCTAAGGAACAGATCACAGGTCGTTTCCTGTTTAATAACTACCGGCTCATTTCCAAGTTGCCTTTCCTTCCTAAAGTTCTGGAATCTGTTGTTGCAAATCAACTTCATTCACACATATATCTCCCTCCACTCCCTACTCGAGCCCCTGCAGTCTGGGTTCTGCCCAGCCCACATGAGACAATGTTCATCAAATCACTAATGAAGTCCTCTCCATCCGTGACCACGGCCCCTTCTGCCTCCTTGTCCTCCTGGACCTCTCCACTGCATTCGACACACAGTCGATCACGCCGTCCTCCTCCACCGCGTCTTTTCTTCCCTCAATTACCTCAGTGGGACCACACGTGCCTGGGTCAAGTCCTACTTAACCAACCACCCTTGGCGCTGGATGCAGAATGGGCTCATTATAAGCAAACATATATAGGAGCGGTTCAAAGGAAGGTGATCGATAATGATGGTCCTTGTATTTGACATCACGCCTTACCATATCATCAAGAAAT